GTCAAGCTGCTGAAGAGTCGCTTCAAGCAAGCCCACGGAGCGCACCTTCACCATGGAAACCAGTGTGGTCGTTGGACGTTCGCGTCACGGGCGGCAATTTACGCGTTCACGGCCTCACCATTTCCAGTGTTGTAGCTCTTCCCTCGCCAGTCACAGGCGGCCAGTCGAGTCTATTTTAGCGCAGCCATCACCCACCCCCGCCGCTGTGTCTGTATGTAAAGTATGTATTGTGGCTGTGTCTGTGTCGGCGAGGGTGGTGCTGGTTGGTGGCGTCCCTACTGTCTGTCTGAATACGTTTTCCACGTATTCCAAATGACCTCCCAGAGGCCTGTATTCTGCCGTATTCCACCCGTATTCCACGTATTCCATGGAATACGCCGTATTCCAAGCTCCAAAAATGGACGTATTCCGGCTAAAAATTTTCTTCGCTCCGCGAATTCACACAGTAGGGCTGGCGTCCCCGTCGGGTCAGGGCTGAAGGCGGGGGAGACCAACCCGATCTCTCCGGCGTCCCGGGAGCGTGATTGACACCCCCCCTGCGCCAACAGCCCCGTGGAGGTAAACCGCTCGTCTAGCCAATCAGCCTTAAGCGAGCGTTCTGGCCGAGTGGCCGTTGGAATGGCCGAGGTTGGCGCTTGGCGGACTTGCGTCCTCGCATCGGAGCCTAGTGTTGTGAGAGAGAGGCAGCGAGAAATTGTGAGACACCTTTGCGCGCGCCGTGAAATTATTCTTCACGCTGCCTGTGCTGTGTCCTCCTGGTTGGTCTGACACTGGAGACTGGCTGGTCTGTCTGCGAACGAACCAGAACGTGGGGCTCTCGTCCCTACGGACTCGGCCGCGGTAACACGCGCCCGCGCGGGCCAGCCGCGCGGTTTCCGCTACTGTCAATGAGGCCCGAGCTTCATGATTGTGTACCGTTGGGATGGCGCCGGCGAGCAACGTGAGTTTGCCGCGACTTTTTTTGCAAAACGAGGTGGCCCACCGTGGCCCAGTACCAGTACAGGGTGGCGACTGCTTGGCCGCGAGGGTGGCTCGAGCGTCTCGCCGGAGTCGCTGGGTGTGCACATATATGCTGCCCTCCGGCGCCAGTTTGCTGCCATACCCGCTCGCCATCACCTTCGCGCTGCTGCTTGCAGCTTCGGCGACCGCCGCCGCTGTTGCTCTCTCCCGTGTCGACTGGCGGCCTGCTGCGCTCATCGTCGGCGCTCCCGGCAAGACAGAGGTGGACGTGCTGCTGCTTCGAGCCATCGTTGCGTTGCCGCTGGCGCTGTCTTTTGCCTTCGGCTTTGTCTGCTGGGCCACAGTCGGTCCTCCGCTGGGAAAGGACCTCCTGCTGTCGCTCAGCCTGCAGCTTCCCGCCGCGATGGTGGCGGGCGCGACGCTGATGCGAGGCCGCACCCTGTCGTACCACTTTTCCAGCAGAGCTCAGGCCGTACTCGCGAGCTGCGCGGCTGTGGCAGCGGTTGCACAACTTTTGATTGCATACACGCCGACCGGCACGGCTGGGCAGCACCACTCTGCCTTTGCAGCGAGCAGCGCGGCGCTGCTCTCGCTCAACCTCGCCCCGCTGCTGGTGATGGCCCGGCTGACCGCAGCGCAACCCTGGCAGCCCGGCCGGGAGGGCGCCGCTGACACTGACGCCGACGATGACGGCACGCCGCCGTTTCAGCCGCCGCCGCCGCTGCTGGTGAGCGCAGCTTGCGCCGTCCTCTACGCCGCCTCCCTCGCGTGGTACGCAACAGCAGGTCCCTTCGTCGCGCCGCTCGAGCCGACAGCGACGTCCCTTGCCGCGGCGGCGGTCTTGTGCCTCGACGGCCTCGCGCTGCTTCACCAGCGGAGCGGCGCTCTGTCGTCTCGCGTCTCTCTGCTCGCGCTGTGTGCGACGACGCGAGTCGTGCTGATCGCTTGCGGCGAGAGCCACGTCGCCACCGGCGAGGCCCTGCTCTACGCTCTCCATGGTGGCTTGCTCGGCCGCCGCGCAATCGCATTGCGCAACCCTCCTCCTCCCTCGCCGCTGCGCGCTTACCTCGCTTCGCTCGTTGCGGCACGGGAGGGCGGCGGAGGGGAGGCGACGTCGGTCGCCGAAAGCGGCAAGGGCGACGACGGCGGCGGCGGCACCAGTTGGGCTGAGCTGTGGCGCAGCGTCTCCTCGGCGGAAGCCTCGCTGTGCCGGCTGACGGCTGCACACGCCGTCGCTGTGCTCGCGCTTGCCGGGACTGCTTTCCGGCCGCTGACCCTCGGCGGCTGCGCGCTGCCGCAGGTTGCCCTCGGCGCCCTCGCTCCGTTTTGCCTCGTTCTCGACCTGTGGGCGGCTCACCTCTTGCGCTCGTGGCGGCGGCGCGGCGCGAGGCCTGACGAGCAGGCATTCCTCCGCGCGGCCGCGGTTTGGAGCGTGGTGTGCCTCGGCTGCGGCGCGGCGTGTGCGGCGCTGCTGCGCTGTGCGCTGCTGCTGCCGCTGGTCGGGCTCTTGCCCGGGATTGCCTTTGGCTGCTCGGCGCTCCGCAGTGCGTGGGAGAGCAATGGCTGGGTCGCCATCGACGTTGCCGGGCTCAAGTCTCTGACTGCTAATGCGAGAGGCTACGCAATACTCGGTGAGGACAACGCCGGCTCTGATTCCGGATCTGGGTCTGCAGCTGGCCGCGGCGGCGGCCTACAGCGCTCGTTTGCGCGCGCTGTGAAGATAGCCCACGAGGAGTCGCCGCGAGACGTGGCTTTGCTGGGTGGCGCAGCTGTCGTGACCGCCCAGGTCATGCTCGCTGGCGTCGCCTTCGGCTGCAGCTTGGCTTCGGCTGCAGCCGGCGCAGCACTCACGCTCCTCCTCATCGAGTCCGTCCTCACCGCCGCAGCGCTCACCGCGGCGCACCACCGCCCGGACGCGCCAGAGCCACTCCTCGCCTTCTGCGGCGCCTTTGCCGCCACCCACCTCGCCGGCGTCGCTCTCCTCGCCGCGCTGTGGCCCCCGCCACTGCAGAGGCCAGCGAGCAGTGAAGCATGCGCCTTCGAGACGGTGGGCATGATCTGGGCGCTGCTCTCGCCCCTCGCGCTCTGTGCGGCCCTGTTGTGGGAATTCGCTGACGACGTAGATCGCACGAGTGGGGCGACACCACGCCACCTGCGGGTGGCGGCGGTGGTGACCGCCGCCACCGCTTCAGCGCTGATCGTTGTAATCGCCACGATGTCCCTCGCCGTCGCTGCCCTCTCGTCGGCGGCGGTGGCATTGGCGTTCGCTGCCACATACGCTCGGCACGAGGCGGCAGTCAACGGCGGCTTTCTCGGGCGCAACGCACGCAGTGCAGTAGAAAGAAGCCTTGCAGGTGCTGTGGCGGTCGGCACTCTCGTCGGCGTTTCCTCTGCTGGCGCCGTTGCCGTAGCGGGATGGACGCTGTCGTTGCTGGCTTCGGCCTCCGTCCTCGCGGCCGCTGCTCGCGCCTCACTGCGTCGGCGCAAGGGCCAACGCTTGCGCCACTGGAGCACGTCCGACGTGTGGTGGCTCCCGCTCCCCTCGACGGTGGTGATGGCTGACGGAGAGGTGCGGCCGTCTAGCGAGCCGGTGGCGCTGCTGCTCGCCGCGGCGGCGGCCACCCTCCTCTGGTCGACCTACGCCACGCTTGTCATCGCTCCACGCGCCGTCGGCGTCGTCACAGCATGGGCCGTGGCGCTCGCCTTGATCGACCAGGCTGCGGCAGCTGCCGCGTCGACGCCTCTCGCGCTAGGCCGTGCATGTCGGCGGCCAGGGAGTGGCGGGGCTGCTGCGGTCCGGTGCTTGCTCACTCACGACGCCGTCTCCGCAGCGCGCAAGGCCGCCTTTGCTGCGAGCGTGGAGGGGCAGGGTGGAGCTCACGAGTCGAACGGCGGCACGGCGCGCGGGTCGAACGGCGGCGCAGCGCCATCGCCGGACCAGACGCCTGAAGGTGCCGAAGCGTGGCTCGTCACGCGCGAGGGCGAGGCTC